TATATATATATATATTCATTTTAATGGAATAATTGTGTGTATTATTTATCAATTGTAGATCGTACTGTGAAAGTATGGGACTTGAGAACTGGAATTGAAAATTTTACGCTTAGCGGTCACCCAAATAATGTTGTTGCAGTTAAATATTCTCCATCGCATCAACTATTATTTAGTGTCTCTGCAGCATATGTTAAAGTATGGGATTTACGAGCTGGTAATTCTTGCATAAAAACTCTTTTTTCATCAGGCCAAGCACAAATTGGCCCAATTGCTTTATCGACTCCGTCTAGAACACTACAAGTACCTGTGGGTGAAACAACGATCAATGATCTTGTATTAAGTTTAAATGAACGAGAATTGTATACTGCGTCTAGTGATAAAGTGAGAGTATGGGATCTTCGTAAATTGACATGCAATGGTAAATTAAGTACACCTCACACAGCAGCTGTTATGTGTTTAGCCATTGCTGAAGATGGCAGAGTAATAGCGGGCAGTAAAGATCATTTAATTTCGCTTGTTGAACCTAATACTTCTGGTTTATCTGTAAGTTTAGCACCACCGCATTATGATGGAGTTCAATGTTTAGCTACAAGTGATAGTACTCTATTTTCTGGTAAGTCCTCATTATTGTTTATTATTATGGTAATTATATAACATTTCCAACTAAATGCTATAATATTATAGGTTCAAGAGATATGTGCATTAAAAGATGGGATTTAGGTAGAATGGAATTAGTTCAATCGTTAAATAATGCACACAAGGATTGGATCCTGGGACTGTGTACAATAAATGATGGTTCCATCATGGTGTCAGGGTGTCGTGGTGGTGTTTTGAAAGCATGGTCTGTTCCCAAAGATCAAACAGGAGAATGTACTCCCATCGGAGAAGTTCGAGCACATGGATCTGCAATTAATGCTGTCATAACTAATCAACAACATATTTTTACTGCTAGCAAGTGAGTTCAATACATATATTTATATATACATATATTTTGTTTTCATTGCTGCACCCTAAGCACTATTCACCTTCTGTAAATATTCTGCACCCGTTGAATAAAGGTAGATTGTATATTATTCTCAAGTAAATAATTTGACAAAAAAATGTGCTTAGGTTCAGCTCATTTAATAATATCTTGAGTGAAATAACAACTTGGATGTTGATTGCAGCTCTGGAGAGGTGAAGCTGTGGCGTATTCCTGATTCCTCTTTAACTATGTCTATTTCCACAGTTTCTCTCTAACTTACTTTATTTTTCTGCTGCTCGTTATTATGTTTCCTTTATTTTTTATTGTTATGGTAATTCACTTACATATTGTACTGCATATTTTACTAAAATATTTCTGATTATCGTAAAAAATTCAAGTGTAACTATCGCTTATATTTTTTTTTAATTCATTAATTTATTTATTTAGTTGCATTTGTTGTCTTGCTAATGTTCACTGGCTTTTTTGTGCATAACATATACACGTATATATATATACGCTTTGTTTTAAATATCATCAGTGATATTTAAAAATTCGTAAATCAATTGTATATTTAAAATCTGTTGGATATAATTTTATTAAATAGAAAACAAGAAAAAAACATATATATTTGTCTTAATTATAGCAGTAAATGTGCTATGATAGTTCTATATTAAAATGTATTAATCTTAATGTTTATTCAAATATTGTATATCCAAAATACATATTGGAAATAAGCTTTGTTTTTGTACATCATTAATACTAAAAAGAACACTTCCAAGTTGATGATAATTCACCCAAGTTTTAGTAAATTGGTTGTGTGTAATAGTTTGTCTTTGAAAACATTTATTATGCCTAATGGAAATGAAAATTTAATTTGATTTTTATTACTTTGCTTCTATGTGGTACTTTGCATGGTTACCGTGTCAACGCAAAGTGATGGAACTGTGAGATTGTGGAGCTACTATAAGAGAGATGCAAGAACTTTCCAAAGAAGCAATTCACTAAAAAGTTAACACTTTAATATTATTGGTTAGATTTATTTTATATTGTAGGAAATTTTAATCTAATTTATTATTATCATTATTATTATTATAATTATAATTATAATAGCAACATAATTCTATGATTCTATAAATCATAAGCAATTAAGAAGACAATTAAAATAATATACAGTTCACATAAGAATGAATTGTGCTTTTCTTACTATTTAATAATGCTACATTTATTTTATATTTACTATTCGCATCAATTTTTAGACATTTTTAGATCTGATAAAAGAGAATTTTTAAAACTTATTTCATTCGAGTAGAATTTTGTAATTTATTAGAGAAAATGTACGACCTAAATAAAATTTTTGCCAAATGCTAAAAAATAGACAAAATCCAAACTAAAAAGTAAAATTAATAACATTATCTAATAAGAATAGTTTGGTATTATCTAGCATTTATTTTATTATGAACATTAGGGTGGTAATAATTATAATATTTATTTTTAGTACAAACAATAATTGTTGGTTAATACTGTACAGTCTGAGATCTTTGCAGGTCCCATGTACTCGATATTGTCAGGGTTGACTGTTATTCAATTTTCTTCTAAAAATTAAAAAGAAAACAAAAAATAAGAAAGAAAAAACAATATTATATACCTTAAGCCTTGAATTTTTAAATATGTTTGCAACGATGAAAGATAAAATAATAATAAATGGAATGTTATAACACATGCATTTTTAATTACTTTGAGCTTAATATGAAATATAAAAACACGATAGTAAATGAAATATTTTTTTATATACCTCTTCTTTTTTTTGTGCGCTGTAAGAGATTCCTGACCACTGTCATCTGCACTTTCATCTTCAGATTGACTAGTACTACTACTACTACTCGATGAACTACTTGAAGAGCCACTCGAAGAATCACTGGCTACTCCCGTATCTTCTTTTACATCTATTGTTTCTGCAAGTGCTGCAAGTTCTGCTTCCTTATCCCTGAGTACTTTTAACCATTTACGCGATAATTTTGGTCTTCCACGTATCTAGAAAAATAATTTAGAAATATATTTTTATGTGTTATAAAGAATAAAAGAAATGCATTGATTGCTATTTTACCGTTTTATGCCATACAACTGGAAAATTAGTACGAGAACAGAAATTCTGTGTAACTGCAATAGTTTCATCCAAATTCAACACTACGTGCCACCAACCACCTGGTACAAAAACCGTTTCACCAGGATTTTGTAAAATTTCGATTGGTAAGCAATTTTGAGGCCATGTAGGTAATTTTGTACGTGGATAAATAACAGAAAACCATGTTATAGCTTCGTCTCTTTGTTTTCCACCTTCACTCGCAGTTACTTTTAAAAGCTCGCGCGGAGTATGAGTAGGAAAGAGGCACCAACGTTTATGACCCGAAATTAGTGCATTCCAAGCACTAGTTCCTAATGGATCTATGTGAATACCTGTACCTGTTACATACGAGCAATTTGATAACATCTGTTTATACATTAATAATATTCAGATTCTTATATAACACATACCTGATCTAGCAGGTCCCATAACAAACCATCGATATGGCGGTCTGCGATGTTCGCCAGCGTGTTGAAAAAGATCATCGCGGAAATATTTGGGAATAATATAATCTTCTAATAATTTTTTCCGTCTAGGATGTTCACCGAATGAACTATCAAAGATGTACAAAGGAGAATCATCTTCATTGTTAAGCATATATTGTACATAGTACTTCATCTTCATTTTAACACTATATCCTTCGTTATCTTCTCCACATTTAAACTTTTGGTTTCTGTACTTTTTAACTAACCTCTGCATGCCGATAGAATATTATTGGAGTAAGTCTAAGTACAAGTTAATATTTGTTTACGATATAACATTAATTTTGTTATCTTTTAAATTACCTCTATAGTCCACTTATGTTGGGCTTTCCAACCATTCTGAACACCTTGTATTATCACAGGCTTATAAGGTTTTTCATATTTTTCAATAAATTCTTCTGTAGTCGCAACAGATTCATCTATACGCTCTACATTATCTTGAAAATTCCAGAAAGTTTCGAAATTTTTACTGTAGCCGTGCTGAGACCAAGCAACTTTATCTCCAAGTTCTAGAAAAATATTACTCTACTTAACAGCACACTCTCTGTATTAGCATATAAAACAGTTCTATTTTTTTTTTATCTTTAGAAGGCTAATAAGGAAAAATATACTTTATGTAGACCTTGAACAGATTGTAATCTGTTATTAGAAATTAGAAATATGTAGAAATATATATAGGATTATATTAATTATAATAATTGAAAAAATATATAGTATGTTACATCACCCTCAAGGTCTTACAAGCACAAATTAATCTTAAAGTTATTAACGATTTTGATATTTGATTTGTGAAATATGTTTAAGGTTAAATATAAATTCATATTCTTTAATTCTAATAATACATAGAAAGAGAAATCTGAGAATTTTTAGAAAAAATACTCTTGACACGTTAATAAGTAGGTTAGAAATTGAGTTGTTAAATTTATTCACCTGGTCTTGCTTTCTTTTTAACTTCTTTAATTCTTTTCTTAGCACGATGATCCAATTTTAGTTCCTCCGTCATGATTATTATAATATCCTATTAATTATGCTAATAATATAATAAAATTATTTACAATGTTTAATTTGAAAAATTTTACAACACACCGTCGTATCGTACACAGTGATCACCGCGACTTTTAGTTCCTTTTATTCCCGTAAGGCGTGTCAAAACATTAGTCGATATTTTCAGATCGCTAGAATGCGAAACGATAATGCAAGTGTAGTTCGATTATCGAAACTAAATCTTGAATGTTTCATTTACAAAACTACTTAAACGTTATTCTATCAAATGTCAATGACTTGTAAATATTTTTCCATTTTTAATTAACACAGGAATATTGGCACGAGTAATAACGAAAATGTTTAATATCGTTTTGCGTGTACACTTGAAATTGTTGTAAGAGGCGCTGACAATCGCACCTGAATGGCCTACGTGACAAATGTCACGTTCATGTGGCATATGTACGATCCTTTTAAAGAGCAACAAGCCACATCTGCTTGGATATGTATAAGACCATATCTCGTATAATTAATATGTAAAAAAAATCTACATTTACATTTTTCATTAAAAGTAATGTGTTATTTTGGAATAAAGATTTAATGAATAATCATTTGTAAAAAAGTAAACGATTGAATGAAATAAAAAGAAAAAAAATATCTCTGATTCGTTAAGTCTCGACAACGGCAGTTAGTACCGCTGTTCTGGCGAAGTACAAGTATTATATACATGATCGAAAGTTCAACGGTTCGATTCGGCGCATGCGCAGATGTAAAAGAAGCTTGCCTAGTGACGAAAGAGAGAAAAGAGAAAAGTGTGGAATAAAGAGGTAAGAGGAAAAGGAGCCGAACGCGCAACGGTGTATACATGTATATACATATATATTATACATATTACATATATACATATACTAACATAGAAGAGGAAGAAGAGACACGACGCCATGTTTTGATATCGTCATGCCCCCTTCTTAAAGTTCTACCTCTTGTATCGTTTAATAGTCGTTCGTGTCAGTGTTTTTTTTTTTTTATCGTTACTCGACATAACTCCGTGGCATTCGCATTCATTTATCTCATTTTTATCTATTTATCTCTATCATTCAATCATTTTTTTTCTCCCGTTCCATTTGGAGGTGCTTTTTTCTGATCTATTGTCAAAAAACGTAAGATTGCATAGGAAGCACGTGCGATAAAACCGTCGACGTTCATCCTCGTGGTATTTCTGTACTTTTCTGCACGTCGTTGCGTCGTGCTATTAGTGCTGCCAAGTGGTCAAGTTTAACTAGGGACGTTGTATAATGTAATAGTGTGATTTGCTTGTAATATGGTGCTGCCACTGCTGGTGCTAGTGCTGCTGCCCCTATAGCAACTGCTGTTGCTAGTGGTGTTGGAGTGTTTGTGTGGAGGCGCCCGTGTCTCCTCCGTATCCCTTTTCATGTCCTCCGGAATATCAGCTCTAGCAGAGAGGGGGGGTTTACCAAGCGTCGTCTACGTGGTGCTGGTGTCCTAGTGCGGGAACGTGCCGATCTATCCCCTTTTTAAAGGGGGGACTACGGCCACGGCGGCCGTTTTCACTGTTGTGTTACGATTACGTCACGCGACGTGAGCCTTGCTTTTTTATCTCGAGGTTTTAATCGTCGCTACCACCGTTGCTGTTGCCGTTTCTGTTGCCGTTGCTGTAGCTGTTGCCGTTGCTGTAGCTGTTGCCGTTGCTGTAGCTGTTGCCGTAGTTGTTGTCGTAGCTGTTGCCGTCACCGTCACCGTCACCGTCGCCGTCGTCGTCGTTGCGTTTTCTTTGCCTAAGGAAGGAAATAGGAAGTAGAGGTGGAGGAAGGGAATAAAGAGGGAGAAGACGGTGGGGGCGGTGGCGGAGACGAAGGAGAAGGAAGACGACGACGTCGAGGACGGTGACGCGAACGACAAGAGGCACGAAGAAGAAGAGGAGGAGGAGGACGAGGAGGAGGAGGACGAGGAGGAGGAGGACGGGTCGTCGCGTAAAATGGAGCTGCGCTTGCACTCACCAGCCGGAGCAGAACCGATAGTTTATCAGTGGCCCCTCACCTCCGGATCAGGATCCGTGAGTATAATACACGCTCTTTATCCACAATGCATACAAATACATGCTTGCTACTTTTTTGCATTTCGCATAAGACAATGCGCGCTTTTTAGATGGATGAATTCATTTTACATCTTTAAACGACCATTTTCACAGCTGATAACACGACTTTCGAGTTACTTATCGCATATTATTATTTTACTTACATTGTTATATTCAGTTTTTTTTTCTCCTGCGTGAGTAAGAGTTGTTTATATTTTGATTAATTGGTATCAAAATGCTCCGTAATTGCTTCAATCTCTTAATTATATTATTATGTTTTATTTAAGTTATTTATAGAAGGAAACATTATACTATTCTACAAAATGATTATGTTATCTATGTGGAACTATGTTTATGTATATATAAGCACACTTACAAAAAATAGATTTTATAATCGTAAGTCGATAGACGTAACCCCGCGAAATAGGAAACTTTTTTTAAACATTTTAGAATGCTTTCTTTTTTTTTTTTTACTTGAGGCTACAACTTATTAAGTCATGAAATATTGTAAACATTAAATACAAAATCTGTTTATCGGTTACATCTTTATGTGGTGCAAATATTTAAAATACTTTTTATTACAGGATCGTCACGATGGAGCATTAGACGTTGTAGAAACAATGAGATGGGTTTGCGATGATTTACCTGACTTAAAATTACCTTTAGAAAATAATGTTCTTTGCAATTACGATACAAGAGATTATGAAAGTATGAAAAGTTTATGCGATAGATTTAATAGAGCTATTGATAGCTTGGTACAACTGGTAAGTATCATAAAACTTATTATACAATTATGATTGTTTATTATGTTGTATGTAATAGGTTATCTTTTTTTATTTCTTTATAGGAAAAAGGCACTAGTTTACCATCGCAAAGATTAAATAAACGTCCAAGTAGAGGCTTACTTCGACATATACTTCAACAAACGTATAACCAAGCTGTAGTTGAGCCTGACAAATTAAATCAATATGAACCATTTTCACCTGAGGTTTACGGGGAAACAAGTTTTGAATTAATATGTCAAATGATCGATCAGGTTGATGTTACCGAGGATGATGTTTTTGTCGATTTAGGATCCGGCGTTGGACAAGTAGTTCTCCAAATGGCAGCGGCAACTTTATGTAAAATTTGTATTGGTGTTGAAAGAGCCGATGTACCTTCGAGATATGCCCAGGTAATATAAACTAATTATATTTCTTTATACAGCTGTATAAATGAAATGATTTATTGTATATTTTAACGATTTGTGTATAGAGCATGGAAATAAATTTTCGAAAATGGTTAAATTGGTTTGGAAAAATATGCGGAGAATATCGTTTGGTGAAAGGTGATTTTCTAGCAGATGAGCATCGCGAGAGCATTACTGGTGCTACAATTGTATTTGTTAATAATTTTGCTTTTGGACCAACTGTAGATCATCAGTTAAAAGAAAGATTTGCTGATTTACGAGATGGCGCTCGGATAGTATCCTCAAAATCGTTTTGTCCGTTAAATTTTCGAATAACGGATCGAAATCTTAGTGGTAATTAGTTGTTTCTTTACTTTTCATTATATTTAAGAAACATATCATTAAAAAATGATATTATATATTTGTTTCGCAGATATTGGTACCATAATGCATGTGTCTGAAATGTCACCACTGAAAGGTTCAGTTTCATGGACAGGCAAGCCTGTGTCCTATTATTTACATGTTATTGATAGAACTAAATTAGAACGTTATTTCCATCGTTTGAAAAATAATAAACAAGGTGGCTTAGACGAAAATTCTGATTCTGTGATAAGTAACACTGCCAGCAATAGTAGTAAGATTTCTAGTAGAGGTGAAAGAAGCGACAGAGCCAAAAGAGATCTTTCCAGACAGTTAGATAGTCCTAATCATTCAGAACAGCAAGGAACAAATAGCGATTCTGATATGGATGAAAATAATATTAAAAATCGTCGACAATCAACTAAAATTCGTAGGAAACTAAACAGAAAAAGTGCAAATGGTATATCAAGACCTCCTCCCAGAGGAAGACAAAGAGGAAGAGGCGTGAAAAGGGCTAGACCTAAGAAAGCTATTAATATATCTGGACTCGATTTATTACATAGTCAAACATTATTAAGTACATCTCCGCAAGCTCTTGGGAAGAAACCACCTCCTGCACCAGGTTGCGTGGATCAACAACTTTCTTCTTTATCCCTTTCTTTACAATCTCACTCCACCTCTGTGCACGAAGAACTCAGTATACCACCTGCTCCGTCCGCGACTCCATATGCTTTACAAATACTTTTGGATTTATACAGGTATGCTTTTTTATTATATTATATTTATATAGTATTATATAATATACATATGTATATATGTGGGATTCCCTCTCACCAGTCAGTCTTCCGAAAGGACATCTAACATATATATAAGGTGCACAATATATAATATTATCTGTTATTATTTCTAGGGACCAATTCATGCTTATGTTAGAATCTATGAGAACTCCTACTTACAGAGTATCTGTTAACGCAGATATTTTAAAAGAGAGAGAAAGAAATTCTAAACTACAATCGAGAGCAGCACAATTGGAAAAACAAATAAAAGTATTGATCGATGATAGTGTAGCACTTTTAAAAGCCAGAATGACCGAATTAGGTATAAATGCTACTTCCCCTGGAGATCTTCTAGCAAAAGCAAAAGAAATAGTACTTAGACACAAGCAATTGCAAGCTAAAGCAAGTAAACTACAAGCTCAAGTAGCATCTATGGAATCAGAACAAACGAAATTAACGGCACTTAGACACCAAGAATTACAAGAAAAATACAACGGCCACACTAATAGCGTATCTAACACACAACAACCACATATTGACGAGTATATATTAAAAGAAATATCTGTTACATTATCCCAGCGCAAGAGATTGCAATTACAGGTATGCCAGATTTGTTTAATTTTAATCCTCGATTATGATTTGACTCATGGTACTTTGTTTTTTCGTTCTGGAAGACGTGTCTCAAACAATTTACTAGCAAATTGAGAAATTTTCTAAATTTTACTACTAATTTCACTAAACACAATGTATTGATAAGTAAAATGTGAAATCTCGTCGATTGACTGCTTAGGAATATAGTCGAGTAGCAACATATTTTTATATAACAATATATTCAAGTCTCCTTGATCAATCAGCAAAAATTGTTTACATAAATTAGGAGTGCATTTCTTAATTCCAGGTGTCTAAACTGGAGCATGAATTGAATGTATTAGAAAGGGCTAGTAATGAAAAGCAAGTCGCTGCTATTGCTCAACAACAAAGAGATGCAATGAACAATAAACATTCTCAAAGTCAGCATCATCACCAAAATGGAAAAAGCGGGTCTACCCGGAAAAATAGAGAAGGACGTTCGAAATCTCAGGAGTGGCCTGATGTTCCAGATATCGGCAAAATACAAGAAAATAATCCGGAAATTTTAGCACAGAAAATTTTAGAAACCGGAAGACAAATAGAAGCTGGACGTATTCCAAACAGACAAAATTCTAATGTTAATAATAATTCTAGAACTAGACTGCCTCAAGCATCTCTTAGTTTTTCTACGACATCGTCATGCATTTCATCATCGCAATCGCATTCAAATATTAAAGAAATGATAAATAGAACACAAGAACCACCTAGGGTAGCTAATTTTGAAGATAGATTGAAAAGTATCATTACAAGTGTATTGAATGAAGATCAACAAAATCGTAGTAAACAACAAATGCAGTTGCAAGTGCAACTGCATCATTCTGACACGGATAAAAAGCGAGGCGTGTTACCGCAAAATGTTTCTACTCCTGATTATACGCAGGTAATTTGAATATTACTTTACTATTGTATCAAATGAAAAGTTCTTATCTGATAATCTTATTAATTTTATTACTTTCTTGAAAATATTTTAATTACAGGTTTCTCCTGCAAAGCTTGCACTTCGACGTCACCTGTCTCAGGAACGTCTCTCTTCACATCTAACTCCATCCGATAGAATAGATTCTAGACAATCTGGTCACGATAATCGCATTATTGCTGGTGGAAGTGGATTATTGGGAACTAGAACAATCGGTGATCTTGTGAGTGGAGAGATAGAGAGAACATTAGAAATATCTAATCAAACGATAATAAATGGAACAGTTGACATGAGTACAATGATGAGGCCAGAAACTGTATACTCTCCTATTAGTCGACCAGCTAGTGCTGATGGAGATGCCGGTTTATCAACTCTTGCTCATGTTGCTAGTTATGCACCTACATCGGTAACAACTGCTACATCTACTCCTGCTAGTACTTCCAGATCATCTGTATTATTTACACCTGTGACGCAACCTCAAAGGTAATATTTACATTTTTCAAAATATCATTCCGAATGTTTTCATTTTTTCTTTTTACAGATATACACCTGTACAACTACCACGAGCAGACATTAAACCCTATCACGAATCCTATTTTTCTGACAATCTTACCCAATCGCTTACGCATTCTCATTCATCCTCATCCATACATTCGTCTCAAGCGTCTTCAAATGGCGAACTTTTACCGGTAGAAGGACTAGCAGCCTCTTTACATGCTCGAATTTTGAACAATCATAATGGCACTAATAAAAGTGATCAAGTGCTGCACATCTCCAGAAGGTATAATCAAATAATTGCTAACAAATGATGAATATTTTTAAACTATGCATACGAGTTTCATATAATTTGGAATGTATACATGTATATATATATTATATTCATGAGCATACATTGTATCTGTTAGATTTCAGCCATATCCTCGATACGCAAATAACAGTAATAGCAACAACAATACTAGTACAAATGGCAGTATGACTACAATTTGTCAGACGCAGCCTGCAGTATCTGTGAAAACGGAAGCAGTCATATCAACAGTAAGCACAAGTGGTGCACCTTTAAGTCCTCTCGTAGAACCACATTCCAATACTTCAACTCCTTTGGTTGACGAACCTCAAATGACAACACAAAGACAGCGGAATGGTATTGGTGACGATGGTACGTAAATCTTTATCATTATTTATATATTTTTAATTGACATAATAGCAAAAAATTTAGTATAAAAGTTAAGCATAATTTTTTGGACATACTTATTACTAGTTATACAAATATTGTGTTAATTCTTACCAAAGGGATCAGCCTTTAAGTATATATACATAGCAAACACAACACAAATAGAGTATCACAAAATATTATTTTGATTACAAGGCATCAATGAAACTATTTTATAGTTCCTGAGACATCAGCATGAAATAAGTAGATGATGTCATTTGGATTATTAATCTATCGAGAATATTTACTATAAATATGCCATGAATATAATCATATATATATAATGTAATATTTTTAAAAATATTTTATATTTTAAAATAATTCAATATATTTTTATATTAAAATATGAAATAATTAAAGAGTATTTAATTTCTAAATCTATCATCTTGGCATCAAGAGCTAATGGACTGGACAACTTCGCTTGTATCTTATATCTTATCACACATTTATGAACTAATGATATAGCTGTAAAAATATGATAAATATGCTACCGTTAGGTGTTCTTACATCCTTACTACACAAGACTTTTACTAAACACCCTGCTTTTAATCTTTTTAGATGCTGTTGTATTAGTTTCTGCTATGCATCTTTTATTAGTTTTTATGCACTAATGGTTTAAAAATGATTGTCTATGGTTTACCTTATCTTATGGAGTTGGTAACTGATCTTTGTTTATATTTATTTTTGTTGTTGTTTGCTGTATTTGTTAGATGCACTGTAGCTGTTTGTTGGTTAGCTCTGTCACATACTCGATCTCGCTCACATCACCTGAAGCTTGTTTTATTAGAGATTGAGACACAGATCAAAGGGAGAAATCAAAAAATATGGCTGCCTGTGGGTTGGTTCGTGGTTGCTGGTGAGTTTTAACCCACAGGGGTTGTTCAAAATTTCTTGTTGAAATTACAGTTGTTTATTGACATTTTATTATAACATTTTTTCACATTTGCTGCACATATGATTAGTATAAGTTTTTCCATATATAATAAAGTTTATTGGTTTTATTTATTTTTTTCTTTGAAGATATATTTCCATGAAAATAAGCCAAACTCACACATTAAAAATCAGTTTTTATAATGGCTATTAATATAAATTATAAATAATATGTTAATATAAAGATTAATGTAAACTTTAATTTTTTACTACAATGTGAAAGTACAATTACATAGAAGAGGTATGTAATATCAGACGAAGCATGCTGGCTTGCTCTATGCAGGTTTTATTCTATTTATTATATTTTAGTGGGTTTCTCTATGTACTTGTTGCACGTGCATGCATGAAAATAATTATATTTTTTGGAATTAAGGTAGTTGTATTCTCTTTTGTATATAGAAATACTTTCTATCAAATACGTGAAATAATTTTAACTGGATCTTGTCTTTGTTATCTTTCTATACAATATATAGCATAGAATGTGCGATAATTTATTAATGACTACGGATTTATCACAGATATTATGCTAGAAAGGACAGATATGCAATACTAACATACAATATATTATTGGAAGTTATACGTTAACTTTCAATCATTTTATGTGTGAATGTGTTATGAATTTTATTAAATATGAAATATCCAAAAATGTAATCCATTCTATATAGAACGTTTTCTACTTTTTGTATAACTTTTGTTATAACAATGTAAACAAGTATCGGAAATCCTTATAATCCAAAGGTATATAATCTATAAAATGAAATCTTATATATATATATATATATATCTGTTTCTGAGCTTTCCCTTCTAACTCTTATCTGTATAAAAATATTAATTCAGCTAATATTTGCTGAATTTTTATTGATATGAAAAGTTACAGCGATAATTTTATTAAAGCTGATTGCAGAGAGAATAAACTGTTTTTAAAATATGTAGTTGTTATTACCAATATTGCATCAACAGATATGCTGATTACAGCCACTATGGGTTAATGGCTTATTTTTATGAAAATGTTACATCGTATCATAATCTAAATAGAATTTTGAATTGTCAAATTAAATTGTTATTTTACAGATGGAGAAACAGATTGGCAAGATCGTATCAGTTCTGGATTTGATCGTTTAGTTGCATTTGCATCAACAGAATTAGACAAACGAAGAAGATCAACGGAAGGTGTAAATACAAGTCCCGATAGTGGATTAGGTTCGGATAGTGCTGCAACAGGACCACCGCCTGTTGTTCCTTCTCCTGACGAAGCATTAGGACCTCCACGGACACCTTCTCCAACTAGTCCCCGTCCTGCAAATCCTAATAATGGTAGTGCAAGCAGTAATTCGTCAGTACCTCTCAAATATCAGAGACAAGTGGATCCCGAACGGCATCATTTCAAAAAAAAGTTTTTTCACAGAGATTGGAATAATTCTGGAAGTACCAGTAAATTTCGTCCCAAAGGAAAAGATTGGGACTGGAATCATTCTGGACAGTGGCCTCCAAATGATGAACAAACATAATTAAATATCTGCTTATAATCAAATATTTCATTGGAAATGGGACGTTTTATAAAGTTTGTCTAAAAACATGGTCATCTATGTGCCTGTGAAAACAAATGTAATATTTTCTAGCACCACTGACATTAATTTTACACCGATATATTTGGATTTCTTCCTTTTTTTTTTTCTATGGTTTTGTCAACATCAATTATTAGATAATTGATTCGGTTTGATTCGATAAAAATAATTGACTGAATATTTCGTAGGAAAAATGTAACTTAAAACAATCCTTACAAAATTATCCAATTTAATTAATGATTAATTTATTATTCGAATTTAATTTATTTTTATACCTTGTAAAAAATCACTGAGTTATAACGTTGCGTAATATCCATATGAATATAAATTGTAATTTCTATACAGAATTTGTACGGAAATGAAAGAAGTGTATACTTGAATAATGACAAGAATATAAACAATTATTCTGCTACTACTCAGTGCGCGATCTAACGTATGAACTTTAATATTAGACGAAATTTATTGTAAAGCTTGGTAAATAATTGCCAAACAAACGTGAAAATGTTATACCACATAAAGGACTGTGTACCTTTATTAAGGTATGACATTACACAGTACCTATGAGATTATGCCTTTTAAAATGTATAGTTCATAGTCTACATCTACAATATGGCACAATGTTATTATATATACAATGTATTAGACATAAACGTCATGTAAATAGTGTGCCATATTTCGTAGATATTTAGACAAATATGAATGACAAAATAAGGCTACCAAAACCTTTGTGTGTTCGTAGCAAGTAATGGCTGCAAACTTTATAAGCAGCTCTATCTTCCAAGATCTTTTGGAGGACTTTATTCAAGTGTTCACTGTTACTCATAGTATAAATGACAACAACAAAAAAAGAGCAAGCAAAATACGGTCATTTTCACGACAAAAAATATAATTACTTCCTTTTTGGCACAAATTTATACAAAAATTTGTAAAATTGTGCGAATTATCCAAAGAGAGAGACCACTCCGAAAATTATGAGATTTTCATACTTTCATTTTTAAGGAGAATAATGATCTAAAAGAAAAAACTACATACAATACAATTTATTTGGAAATGTAAAACTTTGTGTATAAAAGATTTTTAACACGTTGAGCGTGGTATCGGTTCATAGAATCGACATTAAACTTTTCGTTTGGGCGGTCGCGGCTTCTATTTGTTATTCTATTTCCTTTTTAACATTCTTCTGATTATTTTTTGTATATTCTTAATATACTTATGCATTAGCTGCGTCATTCCCTTTGCCCAAACAAATAGTGAACACATTTGTCACTGCGATCTGTGTATGTTATGTTCTGTTTATAATTTGTAACCGAACAAATCGCCGAATGATTGTCACTGTGTGCCGCCTGAACGAAAAGCAGAGAAAAAATCGCCTTCGCGTTTAACCCATTAATTATTATCTTGACGAACAGAAGTATGTAAAAATAGCTTCACTTGAAAAGGAATATGTAAAAATGAATCGATTTATATGCACGATTGTAATTACTTATGAAATTATTTAATAATCCCTATATATTAGTAAATGTAGTCAATACAATGTAGGCACTGCTACATTTCGCATGTTACATACACTGCCGAATCTATTAATTTTATTATTGATCATTATTATTTATTGTTTTTATTGGAATATTTTAATACTAAGGTTTTTGTAACAATCAAGCATTCTCTTTTATTCCTACCTTCCATTTAGTCTTTAACCATATTCACACTAAAGTTATCAACTATTTCAATTATCATAACTAAACTTTTATACAAACTTAAGTTCAATTTGATAAAATGTAATTGTATATAAATATATAAACAGTACTGAATTTAATTTAAGGTACTGTATCTCATATCAAGAATGATAAAAAGAATGTGAGTGCACAAAGAAGTATGCGTGGAAGGGTTTTTATATTCAATCGCAATCATTTAGAATAGAAAAGAAGACGTTAATAATGTAACGTAATTTTACGACACATCCTTTTTACAGAAAAAAAAAAAATTGAAATTCTTTACTGAATGAGTGGATAGTGTCGATGAGTACAATAATTTCGTGAAATAATTAACAGATGTGAAAAATACTGTAAATTTAATGCAACAAAGTACAAAAGCTCTACCTGAACAAAAAATTATACTTATTATAACATTCGTTTTGTACACTTTGATTATTAAACATAGGGTCAAATATATGAAATTTTTAGTCAAAGAAGTATAAGATTATAAATCTTTTAAACTTCTTGCCATTCCGTATATTGCCCTTATACGATGTTATTTTATTTACAGTTAACATATGTTTCAAATGTATTATCCATTTATTAATCGACTGTTAAGGGCAATGACATTGTTACTAGAGGCACCAGCATATATTTAACATTATGCTTACTTCTGCAATGATAATATACTGCGGGTATTGCATATCGGTTGCATGCATATGTATAAATGAAGAAGCAGATTGATTCTTCGTGATATTCCTCTTTGGAATGTTTTACAGTGTACAATATGATTTTCATATTAAATTTTATGTTGATCATTTTCGTGATCTTAATTCATGGAAATGATATGAAGGATGTTGAAATCGTAATGTTACCATTATGGAACACAGAAAATGTTATCGAGGTAGATACGTTTCCTGCAATTTTTTTCCACAAAAATGATGTCTTTTAACATTATAAATATGATATATAACAAAATTTTAATCATGTTTTTTTCTAGGTCCCATTAGCTTTCAATGTCTTTGGACAGCTCATCGAATTAACATTGCATAGAAATACTAAGATAGTAGCTCCTAAATTCCAAGTTTGGAGCTATAACGAAGAAAACATTCTGCAGGAGTTAACACATTTGAATGAACCAACTCCTTGTCATTATCTTCATATGGACAGTGTCAGTTCAGCAGCTATAAGTCTTTGTCAAGAGCGTGGTATAGTTAGTATTATTTTCATTTAGAGGAATTCTACTTACAGTAATATATCATTTTTACAACGGATTTTTTTAATTTCATACAGTATGGACTTATCTTTTTGGAAAATAGTACTTTAGAAATTACTCCAATGGAAGATTTCAATTCCTTATCCTTTGATAATCATTTTATCAGCGAACGTTCGGAAGCTTCTTTAAAAGAGAGAGAACCTCACCTTATAAAAAGAGCTTATGCTCCTCCGATAACACAAGATTATCGCATAAGAGAGAACCTCCGATATAAATATGATTTAAATCCACCCACAGCAAATCAAATATCCGACAAGATGACAATGAGAAGGGAAACGTATGAAGATTTAACGTTAGAATTAGCTATTTTCTTTGACGAAGCTGGATATAATATTTTTTCACCATTTTTTGGTAAAGATGATGAAAAGATCCGTGATTTATTATTAGCGTATGTAAACGGAATTCAAGCTCTTTATCATCAACCTAGTTTGGGAAAACAGATCGACATCTCTCTCGTACGAATGGAGATAATGCATAAGCAACCATCTGATTTGCCAAACTTCGACGGTGAAAGAAGCAGTTTATTAAATTCCTTTTGCAATTATGCAAAAGTTCATAATCCTTTAGATGACAAACATCCAAATCATTGGGATCTTGGACTCTATGTATCTGGATTGGATTTTTATGCTATTGAAGACGGAAGAAAAAATACAGCAACGATGGGCTTGGCTACAGTAGGAGGTATATGTATCGATCGGTACTCATGCGTTATCGCGGAATTAGGAGTTACGAATCGCTTTGGAAAACCCTATCCATCCGCAGGCTTCACTTCGGTTTATATTGCTGCTCACGAAATTGGACACAAGTAAGTAGACAAGAAATAATTATGAAGAAAATTAATTTCAATTCAATTTACAATTTTTTTTTTTAAATGGATAAAAAAAAATTCTTAATATATTAATTGACTTAAAAGTTTAGGAATGCATCACGATTCTACCGGTAACTCCTGTCCAAAGGATGGTTATATAATGTCACCCAGCAGAGGAGTACAGGGAGAGACGATTTGGTCAGAATGCAGTCGCGAGATAGTCCGAAATTTGCATCGAAACAAGGCATGTCTGCTGGATAAATCGACGTTAAAGGAAGATCAATCTCTTGATCATGCGCGATTTCTTGACCTTCCTGGTAGAAAATGGAATGCAAAAAAACAATGCGAGGTATTCCTCCGTGACAAAGATGCGAGCGTCGCAACGCAAGAGCATGATATTTGTCAAGCTCTTCAATGTAAAACTCTTCATAGAAGCGGATATTATTTCGCTGGTCCGGCGCTGGACGGTACAAATTGTGCGACTGGAAGAGAATGTCGTGCTGGTAAATGTCTTCCGGCTTTCCAAATCACGACAGGACCAGGGCCAGGCAATCCTTTTATAAGTGAAGGAGGTTGGACAGATTGGAAGGTAGGACCTTGTAGTAGCGGCTGTTTGCAGAGGTCGACAGGAGCTCGACAAAGGCATCGTATTTGTAATAATCCGTTGCCAATTAATACCGAGGCTGGTTGCGAAGGATTGCACTACGACGTACAACTTTGCAAGGACGATAGACTTTGTAAGAAGAAACACAAAACAACGACCGAATTCGCTACAATTAGATGTATGGAATTTAGCGAGATCTTACCGGAATTGGATGGAAAAGGAAGAGGGTTGCAAGCTATTCACGAATCTGACAGACCATGGATGGCGTGTTCTATATTCTGTCGTCGGAAAGACATTATGTCTTATTACACACCGCGTATAGAATTAAATGACCTTGGCCTTGATCCGTATTTTCCAGACGGGACATGGTGTCACGAAGAGGGCGGTCAGAATTATTTTTGCCGTCAGCATCACTGTTTGCCAGAGGACTTTAGATTCGCAAAAAATATTTTCGACGATCGTAAAGATGAAAAAGAATTAGGATTACAAAATGCTCGTCCGAATGAACTTAAGCTACCGGATCGATTAATTAGATATTTTAGTTTAGGGTTAGACGGCTTACCGTTATTGACGTCTTTACCAGTTGACCTTAACTTGCCGTCGAACGATGACGAATGGATAGACAAGGATTATATTGACCTTACGAAAGCCTAGATTTTCAATTCAATATACTATTTTACACGAGAGTGCAGACTTACAGCTAAAGGAAATATTTTATAATGTTTCAAGTGCGTTTTCAAGTGCTTTCTTTTTTATAATAATTATATTTACTTGTTCGCGCGCGCGCGCGCGTGTGTGTGTGTATGTATATGTTATATCATATGAAAAAAAAAAGTACGCGAGCTTTACAATATAACACATGTATTAATCTGTATTCGTGAATTAAATACAAAATAATGTTTTTTCAGATCGAGCACTATATATGAATTTCTATGAAATTTATGTACGCTTATCCCATAACTGTCTCTCGAAAGCTCGATCAGTGACATCACTCATTGTGTGGTTTATTTTTAGACTTATATTATTATTATATCCATCCACAATGTAAAGAAACCAACGCGTTGGCCAAAGAATTTAAATGGAAAAAAAAGAGAATACAAGAAAATGAACAATTCGCCTGTTCGATAATTTATATGATTCATATTACTTTAGTGTACAAATAATTAGTCAATCGTTAAACTTAAGAAGACGTATTGCATAAGAAAACTGATTCGCTATTAGAAAGGGCGTTTTACGTTTATGAGCAATTCTGCCCAAGTACGACAAAAAATTCCACTTATCACACAATATCCTTCATATTATTATTATTATATACATTTCTATATATATGCAAATATATTAGAATAATGAGATTACAAATGAGTTAGAGGGTTGTTACCAAATCTATCTCTTCTATTTGAAATTTATTAATATAAACAATGAGTTTAATATACGATAATCGAAGTTGAAAGGATTTTGCGATGTTATTTGCGTTTGAACACAGTGATCGGTGGTTCGTTTTTGACATACTTGTGCAGAATCGCCAGTAAGACGTACCATCAACGTGCAGTGCACTTCAACGCAATCACGTATGTAGCATACATCTTTTTCATTCATATAGCACACAAATGTGACTCATTCATAAAACATACAAACAAATAAATCGGACAGCAATCGCACAAAATATTGTTATCTTAACAAGTCTCATTCTATAATTATGTAACTTAAAATATTCGATCTTAATCAATACTTAGGATTCTTACAATATGCTAAGACAGATAATCTTTCATTTGACAATAGATAACAGACCTTTAACTCTTGACCTAAAGCAAACAGTTTTAAAAGCCTAATGTAATTTCAAATAAGACATACATTTGTTTGTGACCGAATTCTATAAAAAATCACATTTTACTATCTGTAAGGTGAAATTAAATTCGTTTCACCTTAAAAACACCTTTCATTGACTTCACTTTATTATGTACTAGAACGTACACGCATCCATAACTTCATCGGTTAGGATGATCGGAGGATTGGCTCTTAAAATAATGCGTATCCTCTTGATTTGATTCCATTGTAGACATTCAGTTTGGTAGAGTATCATATAAAATGTCTCTAGCACTTTGTGACAGTGTCTCAGGGAACTTTATATCGAATGAAACCAGAAGGTCACCTTTCTTTGAAGGCTCTTTTGGGAATGGTAAACCTTGTCCTGGAATCCTTTTTACGTTACTAGGCTTGACAATCTCTCTTGTTAAGTTTATACTGATTTTTTCTCCTGTAAGTGTAGGAACTTCGATGACTGTACCGCACAAAGCTTGTTTTAAGCTTATTTTACAGGTATATCTAATATCGCTGCCTTCTCTCCTGAAGAGCGGGTGAGGCTTATCTCTAATGATGAATACAATATCAGCTGGAACCTTCCCACGGCCTTGGTCTCCTTCTTTTTGAAAAGTAATTTTCGTGCCAGCCTTCCATCCTGGCTTCACGTTAATAGTAAGAACTTTATCCTCTTTTTTTGTACTACCATCTGCTTGAACGACTCTTCTGCAAATCTTCATTTTCTTAGTGCATCCGCGTAATATTTCTTCTAAACTTATGTAGAGATCATGCTCTATAGCTGGATCTTGAACACGATCTTTACCACCTCCTTTAACCGTAGTAGGTCCAGCGAAATTGAATGAATGCGATCGGAAAGCGCTTCCTTGTCCTTGACGAGTCGGCCCTATTCCAATACCAAAGGGATCGTCCATGTCCATATCATCATCATGAAGATTGTAGACACGCGTCGCGGTAGGCCCTCCAAATTCGAAGAATGTTTGAAACGGTGTCGTCGATCCAAAAAATTGGGCAAAAGTTGCACGTGGATCTCCGTGGAAAGTGTAAGATGTGCTACCGCCGCCTCCATCTGCTGATGCTCCACCCTTCAGACCTTCTTCTCCATACCTATCATAAACTTCTCTCTTCTTTGTATCTGAGAGTACTTCATATGCCTCAGCTATTTCTTTAAATTTCTCTTCTGCACCAGCACTTCTATTCTTATCTGGATGATATTTTAAAGCTAATTTTCTATAAGCTTTTTTTATTTCGTCGTCATTCGCAGTTTTAGGTATCCCTAATATTTTGTAATAATCTTTCCCCATTTTGATGAATCTCTGTAAACATCAAAAACAAACTTATTCAAAATAAATATCTTAGGATGTCTTCTATTTCGCGATATTTTATTATTGTCATTTATACTTTAACTCCTATAAATAATCTCATATCATTTTCTTCGTTTCATAAAAAATCAATACAAAATGAATCGAACAAATGAAAATTAAAGCAAAAATGACGATTCGAGATTCGATTTTTAACCATAAAAGTCTTCTTGATACGACGAAGTCGCGTTTTTGAAAAAATTTAACTCTACGAATATGAGCATTCAATTTTATTTCCTGGAATTTAGAAGCTTCCTTTTTACCTAACCAGGTAATTGATATTACGATACGATGATTCTTCTTTTAATTGTTAATTGCTTTACACTTCGGTATAAGGAAAGATTGATATATCTATCATCTACCCAACTATCTTTACTTATATGTATGTGTAGGTAGGTACGCGCGTGCGCATACATTTGACGCACATACAAACACGAGTAATCTGGAAAATATTTTACCGAAATAATATTCTATGCACGGAATGGGGTACGAGTAGTAGCTATGAAATCATTTATCGAAACATTTTACAATTTGATCATACATGCAAATTAGATTTGTAAAATAATTAACTGTTCATTTAAATGAATACACATAAACGTTGCGTGTACGCACGCACGCACGCACGCACGCACGCACGACGCACGCACGCACGTACACACACACCCACCCACGTACGTATCACCGATAGCTATTTCTGGCAATGATGAACGCGTATTCGCGACGAATCCATTTCTTCGAGCATGCTACAATTTCATGCGATGCAAAAATAAATTCAATCTTATCTTGTGGAGAGCGTCAAGTTTGTTCTCGTGTACAATAAATAGAATAACATACGGTAGAAAACTTTCTATCTTTCTTCATATATCATGCGTCTTTCTCGTTCGTACGTAACAAAAGATGACGAAGAGAATTAATAGGAGATAAAAAATAAAAATTAAAAAGAATAAGGAAAAAAAAAAATATATATATATATATATATTTTTTTAGATTCGAAACTTACCTTCAAAATTTAGTAAATTTATCGTCCAACTGGAACGATCGTTCTTTTAATCGTTACTAATTTCAACCGATTTGCTTTTCCTCAAAGATTTATAGAATGTTCGATTGTATTCGTATTGTAATCTACTCTGTTAGAATAAACGAAATAACGTCTACGTCCTCTCGTCACGTACTAAAATGTCGCGTACGTTGCACAGCCCATATATACAAAATTTCCTTCTACAAGTTTCCGGAACTTTCGAGAATGGCTCGACGCCAGTTCTACGGCGCTCCTGCTCCTTCAATGACGTCATTCACTTTCTCGCAGCCTCGATAGATCGAATGACGACAATCTTTCTGGCGGTCTTTTTCAAATTGTTCCTTCATTAACGAAATATTCTTTATATTTAGAAATCTAAGAAAACGCTTCGATTCAATAACTTCCCATTTTTTTGTTAAACCTTTATTCTTAAATAAAGAATCAGATTTGTTGAAATGATATATTTTCTTTATCTTCGTATATATCTATGTTTCGTAGTTGACCTAAACTTCATTATATTGTATTATATCTAGTATCGATCGTGGTGTTTAGAATTGGTCTCTCTTCTTCTTTCCAATATCTGTCTCTCATGTTAGTCGATTTTTTTGTCATGCACCAATCCCAAAGTTCTGTTGCACCAAGCAGGTGCTATAATAATCGATCAATTGTACTTTCCTTTAATAATCAATTCAGATAATTTGGTACCATGAATTATGCCTTTAATTTAGTATTTTTCACTGAGATACTAAATAATATTGAAGACATTTTAACTTATTAACTATGGAAATTAATTTGTGTGTAGTTTTTAAACAATCATAACTTCTGTTTGAATTCGAATTTATTCCCACTCCTGATGTCATCTAAAACAATATCGATTTGCATTTTAAATGCAATATCGATTATTTTATTAATGGACCGCTTGAATTTGACTTCATTTGAAAAGTTAAATCTTGGGAAAGTTAATAACAACAAATCTTGATTCGCATGAGAACAAATTTGATTTATTTCATAATATAAAAAAACATCGTGCGATCGGGTTCGCTTCTGTTAAATATTACCTATCAAAAATAAAATCAATAAAATGAAATGAATAAATTATCTGCTTAATCGTAGAAATAGCCCATGTCTACATTCGCGTGAATTTGGTGGCATGTATTTATCATAAAAATCTTGAATAAATTCTTCAATTTTAAAACCAAATTTTTGATATAAGATTAAAGCAGGATTGGTAACCGATACATGTAATGTTACATCTTTTCCCATACAAGTTTGAATGAGATGATATAACATAAATGTAGCAATGCCTGACTTACGCCATTCAGGTCGTGTTAACAGAAATGATATATAAGCTTCATTATAACTTACATCAGGTACAAGTATCGCAAATCCTATTACTAATTTTTTGTATAGAACGACGCAGCTGAAGTCAGGATATTGTAAACAATCAGTCACTAAACAGAAAATAAGATTAACATAAAATTCTATTAATTTGGAGACATAGGTAATAATAATATAGTTAAAAATGTGCTTACAGTCAATGTCAGGCCAGAAAAATTGATTACAGAGGCTGTTGATCGCTGGAATGTGTTGTGGTCTAATATAAGAATAATCAATTGATGCTTTTGGCAATGGTTTCCAAGATGAATTATTTTTATTAACTTTAGCGCAAAGTTCTTCCATGACGTTTAACCATAGGGGTCGAGAGGAAGTATCTCT